AAAACCCCAAAACCCCATGGTATTTAATAGATTAATAAAGAATTCAGTAGATAAAAATTATTAAATAGTAATAATCAGGTAATAATCATAATGTTAATAAATATACCTCTATATCTATCACTTTGAAGCTACTGGCACCAGCTAAATAACTTTTTGCAGGTGGCTAATTAAATCTGAAGCCTTCAGGGGTTTAATAGCTTTATCCTAAATTGCAATAACTCCCTGTATTACTATCGCATTAATCTTGAATAAAGATATCATAACCGTAGCCAAATGTCACTAAATGATTTTCGTGATGATAGACAGCTCTATCAGTAGGTTGATGTTAGCGATGAAGTGATTATTTTGTCAATGAAAATAAAAAGGCTTAACTATCTTTCAAATAATTCTTTTCAGAAGTCCATGGAATAGATGTATACCCTCCAAATACTTCTCCGAAACTACTAAGAATGAATGAAACAGTGTGTCCCTTAGAATCACAATGCGCATGGAAATTTTTTGACCTAAATCCATCTCTTGAACCTTTGAAAATTAACTCAACACTTTGCTGTTTGTGCTAAAACTATTAAGTTATAAGATTATTATTATGACTCTTCCTATTTAAATTAGCCACTTGCTCATCAACAAGTCTTCTAAATTTCAAGTAAGGCTCATAATATTCTTTTGAGATTTTAGTAGGGATTGCATCTATTAATTGTTGTCTTTTTTTTAAATTTTCTTTTTGTTCCTCTTCCTACTTAAGTCTAAAGCTTCAACTAATAAGTATTTGTAAATGAAATGATAGGCTTACGAAAAAGTAGTTAAATAATCCAAGATGTTTGAACTTTACCCAAATTTTTACCTAATAATAGGATTATCAGAAGCATATTAGAGGATCTAACTATTATTAGCTAGCATTTCTTTTATTTCTTGAACTTTGTAATCTCTTTCCTAGTCAATATATCCTTTAAACTTTACTATTAAATTTTAAATTTTTTGTTGCTGTTATTCTAGTTGTTTAACCTGGCTTTAGAATACTTCTTTAAAGAATGCCCTCTCAATCTTGATATGTTGAGGATTTTCAGTACTTCCGGAATGATAATGACTTCCATCATGCAAGATACATTCACTACAAATTATTGTATCCTCTACTTTGCAATAGCTTTTAGCGTTATGATCATTGTGCTAATCGCATTTTATACAAAGTATTTCTTATCTCTCAAGCTCTCTCATTAGGTATTAAGCTACTTTAAAGGTTAGTTCATTGGGCAAATTCATTCCTTCCTTCACCAAATCTTCTTTCTCTTTTCTATTGCACATTAAACATTGAAGATTTCCATCGACAAGTTGAATCGGCTTTCTTTCATCTGTGTTGAAAAATTTGTTGCAGTATTCACAAATAAGATAATTAGTTTTTTACATTTATTCTTTATATTTAATTAAAAAATTTAGTATTTATAACCTATTTTATGCAAATCAATGTCTAAAGGGGTTTTGGGGTTTTGGGGTTTTGGGGTTTTGGGG